CACATGGGGGGGATGTTTCTCTATTCATGGCACTGGCGGACAGGCGGGTGCGGGGGGGGGGCGTGTCCGCCCACAGGTGTCCGGGTTCTGCCGGCACTGCCGGGTTCCAGTTTGCGGGCAAATGCCGTCATCATGGCGCCATTACGGCACCCGCAAGGGTTGCAGCGGCGGGTGCCTTATTCGGTGCGAACGCAGGCGTCAACGCCGGGCAGAGACTGGAGGAGACAAAGGGTTGCAGGGGTAGAGGGCGTGCTGTTCTGTGCTTTCCGTGCAGCGCTGTTGACGTGGCGTTTGAGTTCACGAATGCTGGAGGGGTAAGGCCTCGTCCCTTCCCTCTGGTGCGGCCGCCTGTGGTTGGAAGCCTGATGGCAGTATAGATAACTGCAAGCAGATAATGCGCACTGGAAAAGAACAAAAGATAAACCTCGAGCAGGCTGCAGCTTTGCACGCCTCTCACGTACAAAAGTTGACAACACAATCAAAAGGCATCTCCAACGCCCTTTGATCGATATGCTGGATTTGGTTTGGTTATCTTAGACTTTTTGGGACTGGAAAGATCATCCACAGGATGAAGAGAATATATAGGTGAGTCACCATTGAGATCTAACCTCTCTAAGGGCTTGCTCATAGACAATCATTTCTCAGTTAGAGATGTACACAGTTCTTGACAAAAAACTACTCTGTACGCTGCAAATGTTATACAGTTTTACTTGCATATAACCTGCACCTACAGCCTGCAGCCTGCAACGATGCAGCCTGCAACAGTACTAGAATTGTTCAGCGCTTTAAATGGCACCGCTAAGAACTCTTAGAATACGCCAAGTGGCCGTAATTTGGCTGTTTCACATTCGATGGGGGTGTAAACCATCTTTTCGGAATCACAATTGTGGGTTTGCTCCAAGGGAAACGGAACTGGAACGCTTTGGCTCGCGCGATTCCGGTGAAATACGAAATGAAACGAGAAGCGACTACGACAGGTCAGTACCGAGTTATGGCACCTGCACTGCAGTACTGCTTTAGAATGTCAGAGCTACTGTGCCGTAAACCAGACGAAACCCAGCAAAAGTCGGCAATATTCTCGCTATGGTATGTTTGGCTTGGCGCAACAAATGCACTGGAAATCACTCGCATCGTTTCAGAACAAAAACAGAACAATGGCAAGAATCTGGGCACATCCATCTCCTGCAGTGCACAGACAGGTGCCTGCGTCATAATAGTCCGGAACCAGTCACGAGCTAAAAGCAGATCTACTTTCATTTTGCATCCATCAGCGCTTAGTCATGACGGCTGAAGCCGAGCCTCACGAACCAGACTAGCACCCTGACGTGTGCACGGCTAGGAAGTAGCAACTCGCATGACAGCAGGCAGAGGCGAAACAAGCATCAGTGGCCTAAAACAGCCAAAAACCCATAAAACGGAGCATGGCGGCGAAACGAAAAAGCTAGACACCTGCAGTCGACAGCGGCAAACAAGGATGATCAATGAGGCCATAACTCAAACGGCAACAATCGAGCGTGTCGATGGAGAAAAACAGCTGGGATGGAGGCCGCTGGTCAGAGGGGCACGCTCGCCAATGCGGTGCGGCATGTCTGGTGTGTGCGCCCAAAACAGCCAAAGATGACAACATCCAGCATGTCAGGGAGCGGGCTGGATAACGGGTATCGTGCCGAAGACGGGGACGGTCGGGGAGGTCCAGCTGGGCTCCCGGAGTGGCGGCTGGCTTAGCCGAGCATCAGAAGAAGCCGAAGCCGCGCGGCACGTGCAAACTTCGGAGAAGTCGCACGAGTACAGTGGAAAGCCATAGCCACCGCGGAGCGGTGAGCGAGGTGATATCGATCGCTTGCTTGGGGGGCACAGGGACAGCTCGTTGAAGGCAGTCGCAGACAGGGTAGAACGACTACCAGACACGAATATGGCGGGAGGATGGGTTTTATTTTTGTTTAAGGTTTAGTCATTTCTATTTATGCATAAAAATATATGATCAGCCAGATGATACACGCACATATTTCTATATACATACACCTCTCTCTTTCTCTCTCTCTCTCTCTCTCTCTCTCTCTCTCTCTCTCTCTCTCTCTCTCCTCTCTCTCTCTCTCTCTCTCTCTCTCTCTCTCTCTCTCTCTCTCTCTTTCTCTACCGACGTTGGCCAAATTGAGCCCAATGCAGACAACCACTTGTCACTTCAACGTTTCTAACGTATGCTCGACTTCAGGTGCGACCCATTGCCCCTCTTTAAGGGGTGCCACTCTCGTCGCCCACGCAGGCTCGAACCAGAAGTCCGAAGTTTGGGAAAGGCGTCAACGATGTGGTCGCAAAAGAGCTACCGCTCACGATATCAAGGTTTGGCTTTCTATCTTCTTTCGCGCGGCCACCATAGGCCGGTTCCTCCTGAGCACAATGCGATGCCGACTAGGTCAGCGTCGATGTTACTTGCAGGGCGCGCTTAACCACACCGACGACTTACCTCTTTTTAGAAAACTGGGCGCAGGTCAGCCTTTCGAGCCAATCAACGCTCATTACCACGGACACCATGTGAGCACGCTCACCAACAGCGGGAGAGCACCGTCGCTTCCGCCCCAATTGCACGCGTCCCGTGATCAGCAGATTTTGATGCCCAATGACCCATGGTAACTGGAATCCAATTGGTCTGTCTGAGTGCGCGCCTGACCCCTGACCCAGACTGCCTGACCTCTGGAACCGCTGTCGCTAGCAACCAATGCGGGCCGCCAGATCATCCAGACCATCAGGCCCAACACTTGGCGCGCAGCTCCTACGACGTCGCGCCTCACCCAATGTATTGCACCGAGTGTTATAAATCAATACGTTTTTATAATAATTTGTTGCTAGTTATCTCGACGTATGCTTACACATCATCCTCGTCATCACGGTTAAGATAACGGATAAGAATCAGACCTTCCAGATAGTTTCCCAGTCTTATCGTGCGGCCGGCTGGAGCGCTGCCGCTACAGCCGTCCGCACCAGGCTTGCCCCGCAGGGAGGCCCGAGCAGGCCGCCGGCCGTCCCGACGACGCCAGCAATGCCCGATACCGTCCTGCGGCGGTGGAGTGCCCCCCCCCCCCCCCCCCCCCGCCGCACTTGCCCCGGGTGACCTGTCGGTATCCGGGCCGGCGGCGCGCGCGTCCGACAGCCTTTTTGTGGGTCGGCGGCGGTTTTTCACCACTGTCTGCGGCGGCGCGCTCAAGGTCACCTGGGTGTCAGACGGCGGTCGACTGGCGCGCTTTTTGTGCCCAGCGCGCGCTTTTTGTCGGGCGGCGGCGCAGACGGCAAAAACGCCCCGGACAAGTTATAATTGGACGATTGGCTTTTTGGCGTCTGGAGCGGCGGCCGGTGGCGGCCTGGGCAGACGGTCGGCGAGACGCCGTCTAGACGCGCCGGCGGCCGTCAGAGAGGAGGCGGGGTGTAGGGTGCGAGGTGCGGGGTGCCGCACGGTAATCGGCACCCTGTGGCCCGCGGGGTGCCGCGTCCGCTAACCGCCCGGCCCGTCCCGCCGGATGGATACACGCTCGAACTCTCGCTCCGAAGTGGCGCGGGGTTCAGTACCTGACCAGTTCAGCCGCAATGCCGGAGGCTCCGCTGAACTGTGACGTGCCTCGGAAATACAGAACGGGTCCGATTTTGTGGCAAAAGTTCACCTAGGATTCGGATTTGATGGACTCACCCCAATTCCAATGATCTTCCGTTGAGATTTCTGAGTGGAACAAAGTCTGCGCAAAGGATCTAGCTCAGCATCATTCCATAAGCCAGCCTTCTCGCGCAATCCAAGGCCCGAGAACTCCAAGCACACTGCACGCCGCACCCGGACGTCCACGCTCCGCCGGGCGCCCCGAACCGTGCGATCGAAGAGGCATTGCCGGAGCTCTCATACCTTTTTTGAGGGGAAGGCTAGAACAAAAATGCCCAAGATTTTAATGCGGGCGGGCAGTGTGGGCGTTCTCCACCAAGGATCGGCCAAAGACCTTATCGTATCCTTGCTACTAACAGCCGGCTTTTGACCGGTTGCTGTACGCATCGCCTTCCGCGCTCCACCTCCTTTGCCCACAGTCGGGGCACCGCCGCTTCAGATCAGCCTCACGCGCGGCCGGCCGGAGCGGGCCAGTGGTGGCCGCACCACCATCGCCGGAGACCGCCGGATCCTTCTGAGGCCGAGCTAGGCCCGCCGGCCCGCCCGGGGGCCAGACCACTATCGCCAGAGACGGCTGGGTCTCTCTGAGGCCGAGCTAGGCCCGCCGGCGGGCCCAGGGGCCAAACGCGTCGGCGCCGCGCTCTTTCCACACCCCGACGCAGCTCATGCGTAAGGGATGCTGAAGATCTTGCTGCTTCTCATGTTGAGACATTTCTCCAGGCGCATTGTCGTGGACTGTGGCGGGATGGTGGCAAGATAGTCGGAAAGTGCTGGTGTCGATATATTTGGCGGCGCCACCGACTTTCCGCCGCGCCTGCTCAGCGACGCTACGCAAGAGAACGCCAACCACAGACGACAGGCACACAGCCAGGCGACACGAACTAGTCTAACATCCAGGCGCCGACGGACAAGACCCGCACCACTCAGGTACCGGCTGTAACCGGGGCTGGGTCGGGACAGGCGACTCCAGACACGGGATCGGGATCAGTAGCCAGTGACGACACCTTTCCAACGGGTTTTGATACGGATAAGCGGGCAGCTGCGCGGCGATCGGCCCGAGCTGGCCGCTCTGGCGCGACTCATGTCCTGCTGGCTCGCGTCTGCCGCCGCGGCTTCCGGCACGCTCCGTCGCCATCTCCCCGAAGGCGGGATTTCACAGCGTCCCGCCACGTTCCCGCGAAGTCCGGACACGACTGACATCTGCAGGCCCCTGATAGCAATTCCCGGTTGGTCACCGTGCTTCAAAAACAGTCCCCGTGGCCCCAGACCAAGCGTGCGGATAACGCCCCAGGGCGGCGCGGTTGGACCGACCACTCAGGCCGAGCGGAGAGGCCGCTCCAGCCGCCCCGTCCCCAGGCCCTGGTCCCTGCCGACGTCTCCCCCAGTCTCCGCTCCCACAGCCCCCTGCTGGTGTCTCGCAGCGCCTTAGTCGTTGACGCTGCTGAACACGAGCCGCTGCTGCTTGCCGTCCATTGGGTCCTCGCGTATGACGGCGCGGAACTGCCGACTGTTCGCCTGCAGCCGCTCGGTGTCGCCCCGCGCACTCGCCTGACGGTATAGGCGGCAGCACCGACGTAAGCACGGCGAGCGGCGGAAAAGACTGACCACGGTAGCGCACCGTCACTGGTACTTTGCGTGACGGTAATGCTCCGACGAACGATGGCAGCAAGTGGTAACACAAAAACTGACACAATTTCATACACTGACCGCACGGACATTTTGGCCAACTAGGAGCGATTCGGGACATTCCGATTGCTTGCCTGTTAGCATCCGTGTGCCCTCCATGTTTATGTTATTGGGGCTTTACCAAACCTGGTTGCCAGGACAATACGGCGTGCTTGCCTGTCCTCTTGACAGGAGGAGCGGCACCACGGGAGTCAAACCCAGTACCTCCGGCTTCCCAGGCGTACAACGTAACCACTACACTATCGGTACCCCGCCCTCCGCGCTCCATGCCATCTTCCGTACGCTGAGCGAAACAAACCACTGCATAGCAACACAGCGTCGTGTTTTAGATAAAAAGGTTACCATCCACAACAGGGGGAGCCCGTGGTCATGTACGACGGGTCGGCACGGCAGGCGTACCTCGTGCAGCGAGACGTTGTTGGAGGACAGGAGGTCGGAGCTGTCGCCGCCCAGCAGTCGGACAGAGCCGGCCATCGACGTCTGTATCACCTGACGCGCACACACGGACACGCTGGTCACGCACGTGCATAAGGTAGACAGACCGACGCATAGGGGAGACACACCGGTGCATGGGCAGACCGGCACGCGCACAAGGCAGACACACAGGTGGGGTGGACACTCACAGGTACACATGGTAGACACATAGGTATATGAGGTAGATATCCATGTGAATCAGGTAGACATACATATGTGTAGGGTAGGCACACATGTGCACAGGGTATACAAACATTCACACAGGGCAGATAAACAGGTGCACAGGGCAGATACACATCTCCACAGGGCAGACATGCAAGTGTACATAATAGACATGCATGTGTACATGGTGGATATACATGTACATAGGGTAAACACACAATTGCATGTGGCAAACATACAGGTACACATGGTAGAACACACATATACACAGGATACAAATACCAGCACAAAAGGTACACACAAAGGTACACAGGGCAGACACAGGTGCACAGGGGAAGCACAGGTACACAGTGTGAACACACATGTGCACAGGGGAGACACACAAGTGCACAGGATAGACAAACACATGCGTAACTTATAAGAACTGCTTGCCGCGCACAAACACAGAAGGCTAACATCCTGAGACGCGCAAGCACCACCTGCACACAGACAGACAGACACCAGGTTGATCCAAACACGCAGGCGCATTCGCAAACATTGCGAACACAAACGCCTGCATGCATTAGCAACAGCCCATCAGTACGGACATCAGGCAACTAGTCCATCAGTACAGAACAAAACATGCCTTTGAAGACCATTTCAGAGATAGCTCCCATTGGATACTATGCCAGATCCAAAACACAAACTTTCACTTTCCATGTCCTTCGCGATTTGAGGGAGTCACACCTTCGGGGCACATTTAAAAAAGACATACTCCTGTGGAACTTCAGGACCAGTTACATCCAATAATTCCACTGGGTAATGCCACTGCAGCACAATCAAGACACAATAAGAACATGAATTCTAAGCATTTTACGGCCCAAAACACTGTCAACACTTTTAACAGCACTACACTTCTTTCCTTCCTTGACAGCATCAGAAAGCATCCCAAATCCACGATAACTGCAGTTGTCGCGACCGCCGTCGTCATGACAACGGCGGAATCTGCTGGGAGACGTGGTCAGGTGTTACGGGTTAGAGGTACCACTTTTGGGCTGTTCTAACCCGCACACTGCGGGTTTGTGTGAATGACGTCAGTATATATGAGCGTTTGTCATTGGCACAGCACTAGGCAAGGGCCAATTACCGTGAAGAGGATTGGTTGCAGCGCGTGTGCGTGTTTGAACCAGTGCGTCACTGCAGACCATGCGATGCTCCCTTCCCTAAAGTCACAGTGTGCTTCCAAAAGAATCACTCTAGTGAAGGCCGTAGGGGAGAAATCAAAGCCATAGTATAACGTTTCGCTGAATTCGCGGGATAATAGTTTCAGTTTGCACATCTTCTCGTCTGAATTGTTTCAAACTTTCATAGAATTAATTACACTCACAGACTAGTGTGCTACAAACATTATAGAACACGCCCACCGGAAACAGCAAGGCAAATCAAATGCATTACTTTTACAGTGACGAGCAAGGAGTCCAATGAGCTTTCTGCCGCAGGCGCGGCTACTCTAAATACAAATTGAGCTATTTGAAGGATTCGGAAAACTAGCATCACGAGTGAAATCGGACGCGTCTGATCTAGCAACAAGTGAAAAGTACGAAGGTGGCATACCCCCTTTAACACCCTGAAACCCTAATCACTTCCGTAAATTAGCACAGGGACTACAGGTAAGGCTCCAGCATCGGGTGGCTCAGTTTCGCAGGCTCACAGTCTAATCTCCTACGATAGGAGCACAGCTGCGGTATCCAAAATTGCCAAAAAATACCTGGTTGCTGTCCACAGCACCAGTAACCCAACCCGGGGCAGGATAACACCGATCAAACACGGCGCAGTCGATCAAACTAAGCTCCGCTCCCACCCAAATTGGCTCCGCAACGCGGCCACCTCCACTGCCTCAACAAAATCGCCGCCACTGCCTCAACACAACCACCAGCTCCCTGACGAGAGCCGCGGGCGTACCTTAACGCTGCTGAAGTCGGCCAGCTCCATGGTGTTGAGGTAGTCGGCGTGCTCGACCTCCACGACGTCGCCGACCGGCATCGTCTCCATCACCACCATACCGGCGTCGTCGGAGAACACGAGCCCCGGCGAGCCGGACTGCACCGCCGCCGCCGGCTCGTCCACGCACGTCCACCGCTGCACCGGCCCGGACACAGGGTCAGTGACCCGCCACCAGACGATGGTAAGAGGGATGGGGGGTTGGGGGAGGGGCACACGGCGCGATATGGCTTGTACAGCGTAGGCAGCGCAGGCCACTTTCTAACTCCTCCCATTGATGCCCTGGTTAATCTTTGAGACAAACGTCGCCCGGTCATAACAAAGTCATGCTCTTCGCGAAATGGACGCCATCATGACTTTGGAAATCTATTTAATGAGGCTTTAACACCTTCCAGATCCAGTCGTCCAGTCTTTGTTGGCCCCGTCCGTCTGTCTTTTTGCCTTCCTTTGGGCAAAAACCAGTGCCACATAGATGGCAGGAATTTCACAAAACCAACATCACATCACAAAACTGGAGAAGTAGTGATGCCGTTTACCAAACGAGGTAGCGGATGTGGTCACAAGCAGCACGCAATACTGCGCGACGTCGGGCTACACACCCTCGGTTGCTTGTTGACGTATTTGCCCATGCCGAGCGGTTTGCCACGCTGTTTGCGCTTCCACATGCTCCTGCACTTGGCGTCCAGGTTGTTCTTGATCCGCTGCCACTCCTTCTCCGTGACGTTATGATGCGTGACGAGATGACAGTAAATACCGTAAATCTGCCGGCATTGAGACGGAAGACGCAGCTGGGTAAAACGCTGCGGTAAAACGCGGCTGGTTATTTCCAGAATTTAAGTTACTGCCCACGGGAGATAATCCACAGTGTCCCAACACGCTTTCGGTCCACGCAGCAGTCCACAGCTCGCAGGTGCATGCACTCCGGGCGATTTCCACAGCATACCAGCGATTAAAGATTTTTGACCGAAAATCTGAAACTGAAGCTGGTGGATAATTATTTTTCACAGCCGGAGAATATGTAGCGAATAGTATTTCCGATCCGCACAAAGCAAACATACGCCGGCACACGCCGGCACCAATCCCCGATAAATAACATGAAGATTCTGCCCTTTTCACATAAAAACATGCGCGCTCTAAAGCATGTCCTGATATACAATGAATGTTTTAGCAGCCGAACTACACAATATGCCATCCCATAAGCTGCACTTCAGTTTTGCTAAATCAAATTTCAGTGACTCCTATAGCCACTGCCTGCCTGGCTCAGCAGAGGAGAATCCAAATGCCCACTCACCACGCACGCATAGCCCAGCTCACAATGCCCAAACCACAATGCAAAAACCACAGGACACGTTAACTAAGTGAGGTACAAATACACACAACACAAGTGCGGTCGCATACACACGCAGGCGCCGACACACACGCACACAACACAAGTACAGTGCGGTGAGACCCTCACACATAGGATGCTGAAAAACACAGACAGAGAGACAGCCAGAGGCAGAGATAAAGAGGCAGACGCCGGGACAGAGACAGAGAGCCAGACACAGCCAGAGGCAGCGACAGACAGAGACAGAGGCACATCCAGAGGCAGAGACAGAGACAGAGAAAGACACAGAGACACAGCCAGAGGCAGAGACAGAGACAGAGGGACAGATACAGAAACACAGCCAGAGGCAGAAGCACAAAGACAACGAGACAGAGACACAGTCAGAGGCACAGATATGGAGACAGAGACAGACAGAGAGAGACACATCCAGAGGCAGAGACACAGAGACACATCCAGAGGCAGACGCACAGAGCCAGAGACAGAGATACAGCCAGAGGCAGGGACAGAGACAGAGAGCCCGAGACAGAAACACAGCCAGAGGTGGAGACACAGAAAAGCGACAGAGACAGCCAGAGGCAGCGACAGAGACACATCCAGAGGCAGAGACAGAGACAGCCAGAGGCTGAGATAGAGAGACAGAGACAGAGACAGAGACAGACACAGACACAGCCAAATACAGAGACACAGAAAAGCGACAGAGACACAGCCAGGGCAGAGGCAGAGACAGATACACAGCCGGGGGCACAGACCCAAATACAGAGAGACAGAGCGGCCGGCGGCGCCGCTGTGCCGGCCGCTCACCATGAGCGGGTCGAGCTGTTTCTTGCAGTGCCGGCCGCGGCCCGAGATGTTCGACTCCGCCAGCACCTCGCGCGGGAACAGGTGGTCCAGCAGCGTGACGGCCAGCTTCTCGGCCGACACGCAGTGCCGCGACAGCCGCGTCATCTCGCTGGAACGGGCGCCGCCGCTCAGCAGACGCTCGCGCCACAGCGGCGGCAGCGGTCACCGGGACGCGCCGCCGAGCGTCTCTACTGCGGCTCGATCCGCGCGGCCCGGTCTGCTGTCTAGTCCATAGGTTTACACAAATACGCTTCCGAAGTATACATGCTGAGGCAGCAGGCCCAGTGTCCAGGCTGCGATCCGACGGGCGACGCTCGTCAAGGGCGCCTTCCAAGTCCGACACACGGCCCAAGGTGGTAATGCCAGCACAGACGCTCGTCAAGGGCGCCTCCCGAGTCCGACACACGGCCCCAGGGTGGTAACGCCAGCACAGCGCGCGCCTGACCAACAGCAACTCCCGCCGAAACGCTGCCCCCTGGCGCACGTCAGCTCCCCGGCGCAGCCGCGGTGCCGCGCCGCCCGGCCGGCGCCGCGCGCGGGCGCCCCACGGCCGACTCACAGCGGGTGGATCTTGCAGCGGACGCGCATGTGCGGGTTGGCCGCGTCGCCCAGCCAAGAGCCGTCGGGGAAGTCGGACTCGCGGTTGAGCGCGATCACCGGCGCGTCGGCGCGGCGCGCGGCGCACACCAGCGAGACGGGCGCGTCGCCGTCGGCCTCCGCCTGCGACCTGGCGGCGGGGCAGGGGCGGCGTCAGAGCGACGCCACACGGGGGAGCGACCATCTGTGAACTGGAAATGGGGAAGGGGCGGTGTCAGGTCAGCAGACATGGGGCAGCGACCATCCCAGGCCTAGTAAAGTCGGGCCGGGGTCTGGCCAGCCGACACGGGACGGGCGGAGCTAGGTCTGTAACCGGCTGACCGCGCCAGCGTCAACGGACCGCGTCAGGTCAGCAGGTACGGATCAGGAGCGACCAGCCTGCGTCCCGTGCCCGAACCAACCGGCGAGGAGCGGCGTCAGGTCGACACACACGGACGAGCTGCAATCAGGAAACCACCACATTCGGCTCGAGCCCACGCCTCGGCGAACGCTTCATCAGCTGCACTGCCCTCTACCACCTAATAACAAGATTGGATGCCTCGCGAACCCCCTCTCCCTGTCCATGTTCCCGCCGCCGCTCGCAGCACGGCCGTTCCCAGACCCTGCGCAGCGTGCGCGCGCTGCGCCCTGGGGCCGCGGCACGTCACCGCAGTGACTCCGACGGCGGGGCCGCGCGGCCACGCCGGACCCAGTTCGGCTCGAGCGGCGCTGACCTGGTCTGAGCGTCACCGGCACCGCCGTCGGCGAGCTGCCGCTGCTGGCCGCACGCCGGCAGAGCCGCGTCCATCTTGTCCGAGAGGCTGGAGCACAGCTGGACCAGCGACTCCACCTTGGTCTGGATGTCCGGCAGACTGGCAGGCGGGACGGAAACGGCACATGTCACGGGGTATGCGAACGGACCTGCTTTGACATGGGAGACGAAGTAAAGTAAGTAAAGGTGGCGAGAGGAAGAGGAGAACACAGAGCAGAGAACGCCACTCGAGAATAACGCCACATAACAGGCTCGCGGTGCGGACCAATCACAATCCCAGTTCAGCACCCAAGACGACTTTGAGCGGACGCCCAGCTTAGTTTCCACTCACGGGAATTGCAGCCAGCAGCCATAGCATTCAACACTTGCCTTAACAGCAGCAGCACTCGCTACATCAACAGCCCCAGGCTGAGGACATAAACTTGTGTGCTGCAAGCACATGTCACGCGTACAACGTCGTGGCTCACCACTAGCGCGCGCGTCAGTGCGTGCCGGTCGGCTCGGCTCTCACCTGGAGCGTCGGCCAGTGTCGGCCTGCTCGGCGTCGGCGTCGGCGCCGCCAGACCGTCCGAGCACGGCGTCCAGCTTGTCGGCCATGCCCGAGCAGAGATGCGCCAGCGCGTCCACCTTGCTGTCCATCTCCAGCATCCTGACGACGGCGGCCGGGGTCATGCGATGAGAGTCACAGGAGGAGTGAGGTCACAGGATGGGGAAGGTCATGGGAAGGGGTTACATGGAGAGAGATGTCATGAGGAGGTCAAAGGGGGGGGGGGTAGAGGAAGGTCATGGTGGAGATTACTTCAGTTCAGGATGGCAGAAAGAAGTCACAACAAGCTGAACATGAAGCTGGATGGCGGAGAGATGACAGAATGTCGGAGACACTACAAGGTGGCAACAGGAAGCCACAAAATGACAGAGGATTATGGGATGGCATACACATACCACGGGGTAGCGAAGGGAGGTCACCAGGCACAAAACCAACAGGATTGTGAAAAGGTCACAGGATAATGGAAAGTTTGATGGTGGAGAGGCCTCAGGATGGTAAAATGAGGTAGGAGGATGACAGTGAGGTCATCTCAAAAGGTTGAAAGGCAGAATGGTGGAATGATGCCACAGGACAGCACTGCATGGCAAAAGATCATGTGATATTAGAGAGCACACAGGGTTGTGAAGCAATGCCAACAGGGGACAGCTGAAGTCCCAGAATAAGAAAGTCACCAACAGACAGTGAGCTGACGGTCCGTCCAAAGTTTTTACCGCAGAGAAACTGTGAAGAGTCAACATTCAAAGGGTTTCAACCCACAACCACAAATCTTGATATTGTAGCCCTGCTGCATGGACAAGGTGCCCAGTGGCTGCAATGTTAATTTATGCTGGGAGAGAGCAAAGTGTCTGTGGGTGATGTCAATGCCTGGATGGTCACGAACCGAGAGATGTAGCGTGTCTCCATCTCCTGCACCACCCGGCTCACAAACATCTCAAGCAGCAGCATCTCATTCTGGCCAATCACCAGACTTGGTCCTGACAGCAGCTTGTCCTCCCCAGCCTCTGAGTCAGCTACCTGATGGCACAGGGTAGACATGGGTACATTGGGTACTTCCCAACCCTCATCCAACAATATTCATCATCGTGGGTAGTGTCATCGGACATGGGGGTCAGCCCAAGTTCAAACCCATGCAGTGTGGTCATACAAATGGCTGGAACGCAGTCTGCATTGTCCAAATGAGTCATGTTGCTTACCGTGAACTGTAAAACTTAAAAACTTAGCTTAGGTATGTGGCAGACGCATGGGTTGAGCTGTCCAAAACACATCAACAGTACTGCCAGCAGTCCTCACCGTGCTGTCATTATCCTGCACATCCTCAATGACAACAAAGCTTGCTGAAGGCGAGTCAGGCAGTATTTCTTGACCAGGGCAGGAATCTTCCGATGTGGTCTGATCCACACCCAGGTCCTCAGGAGGTGCACGCCCTGGGCATGAGTCCTCAGAATGGCATGACTTGTGACGTTTGTTGTGCAGCATCACCACTGGCTTGTGTTGTGTCCTGCAAGAGCTGCGTGGAAGCCCCAGCAGAATTGGTCAGGTGAGGCAATGTTTGGATGGACTGGTGGCAGGCAAAAATTACACATATTCATCAGAGCAATTGGCATAAGGCAGGTAAATTTAATGTTGAAAAGATCAGACAAAATCACAGGAAAATGAGAACCTGGAAGTCCACAGGGATGAGTGAATCTGAATGCAGTTGCTTTCACAAGATAAGCTCTGGCAATAGACAAGCTGGGATGAATACCATGCTGCTTCTAGGTACCTAGGTGGGCAAAAGTCTCTGCATGGGTGCAGACCAATACTCATGATGATGCATGAGGTGTTTCATGCAAGGCATAGATTGTCTTAAGCAAATAATTTTGACAGCAGCAGTGGCAACTGGAACTTTCAGGCACTTTGCTCAATGATATGGCACCCATAAATGATAACTATCATGTCTATCATGTCTATGTCTAACATGAAATATTTGATCGGTAGTGCGTCTGAATAAGCTGAGGAGTGCTACGAACATATATGCATACAAGAGGGGCGGAGAGCGTCTGTTGAACTGCCCGTCAACTCCTCCTTCCTGGCTCGCGCTACCATTGACTAAATTGCCATGACCTTGTCAACCAATTCCTATATCTTAACCTTTTCATCAATCCACCACGGAAAAATCACATTTCAGAATATTACAGCTGTCCTATCACCGCACTTCTCATACCCCACAGAACACGTGCGATGCCAGATAGCGGGTCTAATCAGGCCAAGTTTTGTCGGTTACTGTTTGGCGAAAAACAGCAAAAACGCCGGAAGCTGTTATCTGTCTGTCTGCTGTCTGTTATCACACTACATATTTTGTTTGCAGCTGTCTGATATGACAGCACCTCGCTTTCTGACTACATCATGATTCCTTCGTCATAAAAAATAGATAAAGCCGAACCGCGAACGAACATCCGTTACTGAACAAAGTCGATCCCAATGCTGTCGATCCTATTAAGGTGCGGCATAAACGTCTCAAATATTTCCCCATCGCTCTCGCCGTCCGGGCTGGTGCTCGCTGCGTTGGCGTTGGGCGGTGTTCGCGTTCCTTTTGCGGTTGCGGCCCTTCGCTGGTGGTCTTCGGTTTTGGTGGCGGGGATTTGTATTAATTTTTACCCAGGTGCATTTTCAATTTTGCTGTCTCTTCAGTTTTCTGTGGTCAGTAGTACATAGGTCATCGTCTCATCCTTAAATTCACCGGGCCGAACATGGGCGTCGAAGTTCAGACTATTACGCCTGGCGATGGTAAGATAGTTTCCTTTCTAGGGAAGATCTCTGGCATTGTTTGATCTTTATTCTGTTGTGTCCAGCTTAAATCTATAATGTGCACAACGATGTGTTAGTACTTCATTTGATGTCAGAAATATGATGATCATCCATCGATTAAAAGGATGGGCACCCAGAAGTCAGTGCTATTTTTGAAGGTAGAAATGTCGAGCACCGTTTCCTTTTTTATGTGGCTGCTCTCTTTTAAACTGCAGTTTCTTTAAGTCCACAGTCATTTTGCATTTGCTCTCTTGGTGGTTTCAATGCAGGCTACATAAAATGGCATTACTCCACACATGTCCATGTCCAGGAGCATTGCTGTGATAATATCAGCATATGCTTACCATAAATTGGATTATCTAGAGTTTTTTGCAAGATTGCCATCAGTTTCATTGCACAGAGGACAAAGGCCTGAGGAAGTTGTGATGCTGCAAAGTTAGTGCATGCAGATATACTTGAAAAGTTGTTACATCAAAATAATTCAAGATTTAAACTAAATTTAGTATAGCTTGAGTTTAGAACATGCAAACACAGAGTACAGTGTGTTAATGCCCTGTAGGCATCTGGCACAGTCTGTATTTTTGTAAACAGGCTCAATTGGCATTGAGAAATAGCTTTTTGCTGCATTTCCATGAACCAGAAGAATAAAGATATGCCTGCATACATAAACCAAACTCATGAGATAAAAATGTTATGTTTTTTGTCGTGGCATGACAGGGAATGTTGAGGTGAGAAGTGCTGTGTAAGGCGAAATGGCATGTTGTGCCATCTTGTGGTGATTTAGGGAATTTGAGATAGAATAGATAGCTTTTAGTAATTTGTAAAAATCAAAGCATGCTGCTTCTCACACTTTGATTAGGAAATTGTCTTATATCTGAGGGGGCAACAAAACAAACAAAGGCTTTGGTCAATCTCTTTCACATGTGACATAAGATCAGAAGATTAAGTTTGCATTTACATAGTTAGCAAATGCTGTGGTTTATGTATTTCCTAGATAAGTGTTCTGATTGTATTGATGCTTATCACTATCACTTTGATAGCTTCAAAACCAAGCCATTGGTGCTTGCAAAAGTTCTAAAAAAAATGGTGTGACTGTGTTCACCAAACAGAACTATAAATGTCCTGCACAATGCATATCATGGAAATTAGGTTAGGTGAATGAGTGATAGAAGTGTCATAATACTTCTTGAGAATGGCTGCCCCTTTTGTACATGCAGCGATCAGTAGGCCCTAAAAAGCAGTGACACAGGTTTCACTGATGTTAGGGATAGAATGTTGGGCTTAGCCATTCTTCAGGGATCTAGGGCAAGTGATTGGGATCCACACTGCTTTTATTGACACCATCCTGTGAACACTGCCCCACCTACCCCTTTGACCTAGGGATGGCTCAGGCCCAAAAATTGGTGTAAAGCATATCCAGGGTTGTCTTGCCTGATCTTTCATATTATTCCCAACATCAGTCACACCTCTACCTGAGGTTTTTGATTGATGGCCTTGATTATGCATTGGAATGTCTTCCATGAATGATTTTTTTTTTCACTCATTGGGTGGTTATGGCTGGCAATAAAATGTCTTTCCTTGTGAAAGGGGAAAAATGAGAAGACCATATAAAGGCTACAAAACAGTAGCATGATGTAGGCAAATATACTGTACAATCCATAGCTCTCTAAATGATCACAACATCTCGGCACATGGTACCATCAGCAAGTGGCTGGTGCTGACCATTGTCATGCCTTGTGAAACTGATGCTGAATGTGACAGGTTGTAGAATAACCAAAATAAATAAGATTATGAAAACTACATGGTGCTTAGTCCTTCATGCCACGACCAATGTCCACCACAGCTATTTGTGTTTATTCAATGGCTTGGTCTGAGTTTCGTCGGCCGAAGGAGTCAGGTCTGGCTAGTCAAAGTGATCCAGTTTCCAAGCATTGTAATTGATGAAATAACATGCGAGTACTACATCAGCTATCTTGTCTGCCAATCCCGGATCAAGGATGTGCTTTCAGCATGTTGACCAGATCCATGGAATGTTTTTTTTTAAGTCATATGGTTCTATAAGCTTGTGGTTTACTATAGCTGCATGTAGACAATTGATAGCTCGCACACATTTTATGAACCCTTCGTCCCACGCCAACCAAGTGTCTGATGTTGGCAGATGTTGATCAGATTTCACATTGTTGCTCATATATGTGTGTCTGCGCGCAGGCCAGACGTTCCCGAAGACTGGGCAGAAAGTGTTTGTGCACTACACAGGTGAGGTAGACCACATTATACAAGTGAAGTAGATGTCACAGTTCCAGGCATGTAATGACGTTTTCTCCCGCCGTAAATCCATTCTCATTCGTGCAGAAAACAATGCGACTCATGCTATCAGACGTGGCGTCCATGGTATCATGGCGAAGGCATTTCTTCATCCCTTCTTTACAATATTTCAATATTTTTGCAAACCACTGCGACCCGTTGGAAGCGCAAAGCATTGCCCAAAGCTATCAAGTGCACTCACTGGCACCCAAGGACAAACAGCCGGCCTTCCATTGTTCGAGAGCAGAACACGGGGTATTTTGCCCGGGGACGGCCGCGCCACCATTACTGAACGACCGCTGACGGGCTACCGCCCGCCGCGCCTGAACCATGCAGGCACGCTGGAGGACGGGTCCAAGTTCGACTCGTCGCGGGACCGGGGCAGGCCGTTCACCTTCAACATCGGCCAGAAGCAGGTCATCCGCGGCTGGGACGAGGGCGTGGCCCAGGTCAGTGGAGCGCGCCGCCAGCTGCTCGTGTCGGCTCGAACCTCAGGCGGCATAACATTGTCGAATTGGATTGCGGTAAACTGAGTCGATGAGGTGACATGCGCTGCACGGTGTGGACGAGCGTGCCGATTGCACAAGTCATGTATAGACATACATATATATATATATATATATATATATATATATATATATATAACTGTACGACCCGTACCTTCGCCAGTAATCGGCCGACAAGGGACCAATGCCACTTTTCGGAAACCGATCTTGAATATAGGGCGCTGAGCCGTAAACCGAGGAAAAACTACACAGACGCATGGTTCTTTTCATTGTGGCCAATATTTATTTGGCTATAGTTGCCAAAACGGCAAAGCACGGCGAATCCATGTGTCTTGTCGACTGAGTTGCCAGTCTAGACCACACTCGCAGCCGCCATTTTGAAGCAATGCTATTAGTGAATTGGCACGTGAGTGAGTGGCCCTCCCCTTGTTTAACTGCAATAAAAAATGAACTTTACGTTGTCGTGGCCGACTAACACGCTTGCTAAGCCCTTCATTCGATTGCGGGAGCCTTCTATCCAGGCTGGCCGTCCAGCTCACAGCTCCACTCGCTCTGTCGTCCGCATGTTCGGGGTCTCGGCCCTGCGGTGCCCGCTGGCACGGCCCAGGCACCCCCTCCCCCACACAAGCAGCCCGCAACGCACCAGGCGGAGGTGGTAGGCCCATCGGGATGTTTGCAACGCATCGACGGAACCCATTGGTATGTGTTGCCAAACGCGTCCGGCTCCACTGCTACGCTTTCGTCATCTACACGATGACAGTCGTTGACTATCTCTCCCGTTATCTCCTCGGTCGTCTTACGTCACACAAGTGGGCTCACTGGCTTGTTGCGATTGCAAATGAACGTCAGTACACGGCTCTTTAATCAGCTGTGCAATAGCAGACATCATCATGCCACCCACCCGCGCGAGTTGGCTTCAAACGTGCGTAGGGATGCAACCATACCGCGTGATCAGCAAATCTAACGCTTTCTTTTTTACAGCACCACATAAAAGCGTTTAAGTTAAGACACCGTTTTCATTGAGCGTCGATTCCTGAGAAGCGGTCGTGATTGTTCTGGGCTGGCTGGCCACCAGTCGTTTGTCCCCGGTGTCGCTCATTTTGTTCGCAGATATATGTAGTTTGTGTCCCATGTGTTGTTCGCGCTCCGTGCGGAGGCGGACGCTGCCCAGACTGAGTCGCTGTCTGGTACCGCCGTCCGGCCCGTGGGCATCGTTCATATCCCTAATCTCCCCGCGCCGTCCCCGCTGGTCGCCTGATGCTCTTCCCTCGCCTCCCCGCCGCCGCTGCTGTCCTTTCCCTCGCCTCCCGTCGCCGCCACCGCTGACTTCCCGTCGCTTTGTTCACGCCTCCATCTTCCCGGCACTCTTCCCTCGCCTCCCTCCCCGTCGCCGCCACCACTGTCCTCCGGGCGCTCCCCTCGCCTCCCCAGCACCTCCGCCGCTGTCCTCCCGGCGCTCCCCCGCCTTCTGGCCGCCGCCGCCACTCACACAGCGGCTTCGTTTTAGATGTCGAAGGGGGAGCGGGCGAAGCTGATCTGCTCGCCGGACTACGCGTACGGCTCGCGCGGCCACCCGGGCGTCATCCCGCCCAACGCCGTGCTCCACTTCGACGTGGAGCTCATCGACATCCAGTGAGAGGCGGCGGAGGCTCGGCACATTACCGCGTGGCGGCCGGCTGCCGGCCCGCCGCTGCCACTGCCGCTGACGTGGTCTCGCGGATGTGGTCTCGCTGATGTGGTCCCGTTGATGTGGTCTCGCTGATGTGGTCTCGTGATGCGGCCGGGCCGAGCTGGTCCCGCTGATGGGGTCCGGCGGATGTGGTTCTGCTGATGCGGTGCCTCTGACGTGGGACCACGATCTGATATGGTCCCGCTGATGTGGTCCCACTGATGTGATTCCACTGATGTGGTCCCGCCGTGGTGATTCCACCGATGTGGTTCCACCGACGTGGTCCCGCTGATGTGGTCCCGCTGCGGTGGTCCCGCTGTGGTTCCGCTGGCGTGACGAGCGGGCGGACACGGCGGCGGAGCGCGCGCCGTGGTCTCATATCAGGCCCGGGGCCGAATACACGGCTGGCTGCTGGACCCGGTGTTTGCACGGTCGAGGACGGGATCGATGCTGTGGTGGCTGCGGGCCGGCGGGGTGACGGCCCGCCGCGGTCGATCGCGCGACGCGCGGCCGTGACTTGGCCCCGGGCTCGCTGACCCGTCACGTGTCGACGGACGCTGGGTCGGAGTCGGCCGGGACACTGACGACTCTGCACACGGGTGTGAGCGGTGTCGGACCCGCTCGAGAGAACGCGACCGTGTGCACGGGCGACGTTGGCGACGGTACTCGCGTGGGTAGTGGAACAAGCCCGCTCGAGAGAACGCGACCCTGCACACGGGCGACACTGGCAATGGCGCTCGTGTCAGCGGTAGAACGGGCCCGCTCAAAAGAACACGACACTGCACACGGGCGGCACTGGCGATACGCTCGTGTCGGCGGCAGAACGGGCCCGCTCGGGGGAACAACACATGGAATGCGCCGCGGCGTGATGTAATCAGCGCAGCGTGCCCGCCAAGCCGACTCACGGCCGGCGGTAGTCACTCACGGGCCGCGGCACCCGTGCCGCCATAAGCCACCTGCCAAGTTGTGGAGCAGCCGGCACAGCTGCAGCGTGCCAAAGTCTCGGCCATCCATAAGACAGCGGAACTCGCGAACCACTCGTGCATGCCTGCAGCCCTCGGTAAATGCATGCCAAGCGATGTAGACGCTGGTAGCGCACCCACGGCAGAGCCCTGGATGGCGTGGGACGGAAGCAAGCTACCAGCCGACACAAACAGCCATAGAAAAGATTTACGGAGCCAAGGGCTCTCTCAAGGGTAATGGTATTTGGCGCTTAACAAAACCCATACAAACATAAAAACGGACCTAATATTCGTTGCATGCGCTTGACATCCGCGTCACTACACCGTCCCATGTCTCTGCGTCGATGCGCTGTTTGGCTACGCTTCAGCACGCGTCTGATTTGATCAAAGTTCACTGGCGCCTCGCCAAGGCGGGCTGGAATGTCAACATGATTGTCAGCAATCTGCAAAAATGACGTGCACGGCCTGGCAAGCGCTTTGCCAAAGTGCGGATGACTCAACATCCAACGCGAATATCACGACGGTTTTTGGAACTTCCCACGTCCCGCCGCAAAAGGTGGTGCAGTTGGAAGCGGCGCGTCACGAAGCGTTTGTCCTAGCGTCGGGCATCGCATTCCGCGCCGTTCCGTACGCCCGTCGGCATTCACGCGGCGACCGGCGTCCCCAGGCGGGGTGCAGCCGCGTGGGTCACCGATCCGTGGCGCCGCCCTCCGCATTAGGTCGGTCTCAGGTTCTGCAGAGGACAGCGCACAGGCCACTACAAAAAACCCCGACCACGCCTCGCCAAACCCGGTATCTGTTCTGCGTGGGAGATATATTTATTTTCTTATAAACACTCGGACAAGTAACTTAGCACACAAAGTCGTCCCCTATCCGGTATAGTGTATGTATTCAATAAATTAGCGTCACTTTTCGACGGACCGTCACTTCATCCCCTGCGTGGACTCACAGCGGCCGCCAGCGCCGCGCTCATCGCCGAATCGACCAGCCGAGCAAAACAGAGGCATCCCTCGCACGTGGCGACGGCGCGCCGCCGCCACTCCCGTTCTTCCCACAGGCCGTTCTCTCTGGATCTCACCGCCCATTCATCCCGGTAGTACCATCTACAGCTCCATTTTACTCCATGCTTTGTACTTGGTCGAAAACATTTAAAACAAGCCTGGCTGCCGGAGCGGACGCCGCCGCTTCGTCACTGTGCACAGACGCCGCCCAAAGTTGACCTGCTAAAACCCAGTGGCTGAGACTGGCCGCCGCGCGAGCGGCGGGTCGCGACGCGCGCGCCTTTCTGTTCCCCGGCCCGAAGTTGCCCGTACCCACTCGCCACACAGACGGTATTTACGCCGGGGGCGGCCGGCGGGCGCGCCCGCGGCGCCCCCTCTAACCTAAGCACCCGCACGCACACGCACACGCAGAGGGAGAGCAGACTGACGCAACGGGAGGGCCCGGCCCGACTGCACGGGAGCGCGGCTGCCACGCCCCGGACGGCTCCTTCTATCACGCGGAGCGCCGGCGGCGCGGCGGCGAGTCGCCACCGCCGCGGCCGACAGCCTAAAACGTGACCGTTCGAGAGATAAGGGAACAGTGAGCGCGACGTGCGCGGCGACAGCTACACGACAACCTGGCGCGCCGACAGTCGCCTACAACATTGAGGAGTTATCGTCACTAGTGGTTAAACGCGGCGGGCGGCGCGGCGGTGCCGCGCGCGCGAGCGCCCAGCCCGCCCGTCTCTACGAAGAGGGTTATATAGCATCACCGCATACCGAAGATGTGACCGGGCGCAGTGCGCCGGCGGCGCGCCCGCCCGCGCCCGGGGCGGGCGCCGAGGCGCGCGCGTGGCCGGCTGACGTCCGGCGCGCCACGCGAGGCGAGCGGCGGCCGAGCAGCCGCGCCGCCTCCGGGAGTGAGTCAGACGGGCGAGACGTGCGCGGTGCAGCCCCGGAAACAGAGGTGGAGAGGAGCCCGCTACGACCACGCCATCCTGCACACCGGTAACAATAACAAAGCCAACAGGTAAACACCCAAGTGTGTCGTCTATCTGAATATTGGGACGGGCGGCCCCGCTCGCCCCAGGCCTCTCACGCTCTCTCGCGCCGCCCTCGCACCCCGCCTCCACCGCGCCACCCCGCTTAGACGTCGTAGGTGGGGTTGCGGTTGTAGCCGCCCGCCTGCTTGGGGTCGGAGCGCTGAGGCCAGCCGGCGCCGCCGGCCGGCGGCTGCGAGCCCGGCGGCTGCGCCATGCCGCCGCCGTCGCCGCCGCCGCCCTGGTTCATCCAGCTGAGGAAGCCGCCGCCGGCCGGGCCGCCGCCGGCCTGGCTGCTGGGCGCCATCGAGGGCGGGCCCTGCGCCTGGCTAGCCGGCGCCGGGCCCGCCTGGCTGTACGCCATCGGCGTGTCCGGGCTCTGGCCGGGCAGGTTGCTCAGCAGTCCCCAGCCGGCCTGGTTCAGCGCCGCCGCCACCGCCAGCGGGTTCAGGCCCAGGTTCAGCGCACCGACGCCCATCTGCGCCGGGTTCATGCTGCCGCCCTGGCCGCCGCCCATGCCCTGGTGGGCGCCCTGGCCCATGCTTCCGCCGAGGCCGAGCGAGGTGCCCAGCGCGGCCAGGTTGGGCATCTCGTTGCCGCGGCTGCCCTGGTGCTGGCCGCCCCAGCCGCCGTTCATGCCCTGGCCGCCGTAGCTGTGCTGCGGCGGGCCGTAGCCGCCCATGCCGGGGCCGCGGCCGACGTCGCGCGGGTGGCCGCGCCCGAACCCGTGCCGGCCCGCGTGGTCGGACTTGGGCGCCGCGTTGCTCACGTGCACCGACGTGTTCTTGATGATGTGGTCCTCGCCACACAGGCTCTGCGCGATGTCCGGGTTGAGGAACGTGACGAAGGCGAACGCGCGGAACGGCTTGGGGATGAAGACATCGGTGACCTCTCCGAACTGGCCGAAGTAGTCGCGCAGGTCGTCCGGGGTCATGTCGTCCGAGCAGCGGCCCACGAACACCTTGCACGGCACCTGGTGCTGCTGGCCCTCCTGCGAAGCCCGGTCCGACACGTCAGCGTCACAGGCGAGGCGACAGGGGTTCGCGCCCGACAGTCACCGCGGTGACCTTTGCCCCGGCCGGTCGGGCGACCGCCGAGGCGACACCTACAGCTCGGGGGAGGCAGCGGAGACTCCCGGCCGATACAGGCACATCCGCTCACACGTACGGAGAGAGCTACGCGGCGATGGCGTCCCATGACAATTTGCCGTGGGTTAAACCACTGGGGCTGAGGAGCACTCCCTGCAATTCAACCAAAATAACATTTCTTATCCCAGAATTCGAATTCCCGTCACAAGGTAGGCGTGCTTAGCAACTTTTCGTTCAAAGAGCCAGACCGTCACTGCCAGATTGTCATTTGTCCACCCGGGTATCTCAACAGCCGTTGAGCCCGTGCATTCCGTCATCGTCTGGGTCACAACAAATTACACTGGTGTACGGCTCTCAACACGCCAGGCGCCACACGTCTTTCTTTTGAGAAGACTCGGAGCTCTTCACGAGTTGGGCGGCTGGGCACCACGCACTGGCTTGGATAAGGAGCAAACTTCAGCGAAACGAGTGGGGCCCATCCCAGATGGGAATTCGGCGCCCCTATGCCGTCCAGCCTCACCACGAGTTGAGAGTTGGGGATCGTGACGTCACTTCACGCACCGATGTTCCGTGGCTTGCTGGACTCACCATGGAGCGGGAGTTGGGGATCTTCACGTCACACCACCTGCCGTCGATCATGTGGCGCTGGCTGAGCACGCGCATCTGCGACTCGAACGTGCCGAAGCGGATGAAGCCGAACCCCTTGCTTTGGCCCGACTTCGGGTCCTTCTTCACCTGAAGAGAAACCGTCGGGGTTAACGACAGGTACGCAGACCTGTGTCTGGTTCACACAACAAAGGTGGTCCTGTGCACGTGTCAAAACATAAATAAACCGGAGACAGACTCACCTGAGGCACGACGCGGGCGTCCCATCCATCAGCGCCAAACTCCCAGCGAATGGAAAACAAACGCCAAACAGAACCAACAGTGGAAACGCCTCGTTTCCCGGTGCCCTTCGCCAGAGACCTGTATTCCCCATCCGACTCGTACCAACCAGCTCGTGTTCTCCGCCTAACTCGTGCCCAACGTTCGACCAGCACGCTACACATTTTCCGCCCGTTGGCCCAATCACTCTAGTGCCTGCCGGCGTCACACTCGGCCGACATCTTCCCGTTCATGGCCCGCCTGCCGTGGGCTCGACATCCCACGAGACGGCCGCACACGCCGTGGACTCGACACCCCACGAGACGGCCGCACCTTCCATGGACTCGACAACCCACGAGACGGCCGCGCCTGCCGTGGACTCGACATCCCGCGAGATGGCCGCACCTGCCGTGGGCTCGACACCCCGCGAGACGGCCACACCTGTCGTGGACTCGACACCCCACGAGACGGCCGCACCTGCCTACCAGGCTTTACTCCGCCGCTAGCGAGAGCCGCCGACCTGGCGCGGCGCCGCCAGGTCTCGCTGAAAGGTCGGCTGGCGACGGCAGGTGTCCCAACTCCAGCGCCGCTGGTGCGCGGCGCTCGCGCTCGCGTCATTGTTGAAAGGGACTGATGACGATGATGAAAAAGACGTCACTGATGATGATGAAAAGTCACCGATGACAACGATTTGGGTTTTAGGGCGCACTGGATGACCTGCTCATATGGCGCCCATGAGGGGGGGGGGGGAGGGCGTCCTTGGTCAGCGCCGCTGGCAGCGTCCAAGGTGCGTGCACACGTGACACACACGCACGCCGCCCGCACGCGGATCAATGTAGGCCAGTGCCGCGGGCCGCCGGGCGCGCGGCGACCTTCGCTCGGCGACGAACGAGGTCAGGCTTAGTCCAGATCGATTCGCGCAGGAGACCCTTCGGCAATCGCAGATCAAACGAAACTCCGAAGCGCCGAGGCGGCGTCCTCGCACCGGCACAGCTGCGCCGCGTCGCCGGGACCCGTCTAGCCACCCTCCGGACGTCAGCCGGCTGTCAGCTGGCGGCCAGGGAAGCAGCCAGGCCGGGGACAGCAGCGAGCGCTCCGCGCCCGTCTACCAGCGACGGATAAGTGGGCTTGGCAGGCCGGCGACGGCGACGGCGCCGCGCCGTGTAAGCGGCGGTGGCGACCGGCCGGCCACGGCGACGGCGCCGCGCCGTGTAAGCGGCGGTGGCGACCGGCCGGCCACGGCGACGGCGCCGCGCCGTGTGTGCGGCGGCGGCGACCGGCCGGCGACGGCGACGGCGCCGCGCCGTGTAAGCGGCGGTGGCGACCGGCCGGCGACGGCGACGGCGCCGCGCCGTGTAAGCGGCGGTGGCGACCGGCCGGCCACGGCGACGGCGCCGCGCCGTGTAAGCGGCGGTGGCGACCGGCCGGCCACGGCCACGGCGCCGCGCCGTGTAAGCGGCGGTGGCGACCGGCCGGCCACGGCGACGGCGCCGCGCCGTGTGTGCGGCGGCGGCGGCCGGCCGGTGACGGCTCGGCGGCGGCGGCGGATGACGGACGGGTGAGCGGTGACCACGCCGGCCGCCGGCCGGTCGATAGGCGAACCACCGGCGGCCGCCTACACCGGCCGGCTCACGTGGCAACGGCGGCCCGGCCCCCACACGGCGACGGCGGCGGCGCCTGCCGGGGACGACGGCGTCTGCCTGGTATTAGTGCAGGTATCAGGCCAAGTTAATCACCTTACAGTGGAACCGCACGGCGTAATTGACATGGCAATCGAATGATATTGCCGACATGGTCCCAAAGCCCTGCCACGCTGTCTATCGGATATTGCAAAAGTGCAGCCTTACAAAACTACACGCCTGATCCTGCAGGAATAATGCACTGCCTACCTGACCTTACAAATGCACAATGACTAACTGTCTAACTGGTCTTGCAGCAGCACAACCCTGTCAATCCAGCCATTAACAATGCAGTATGGCTAACCTGAGGTTACAGTGGTACAGCAGCCTGCTAACCTTACAATATAACACTGTCACAACAACACAACATTGCTTCTCTGACCTTACAACAGTACAGCACAGCCTGGCCCCCCTTACAACAGGCACCACACTGCTTAATTAACCTCACAGCAGCATCCCTTTGGCTACCTGACCTTACTGCCATACTACACTGCCAACCAGCCACCATTCATGCAGCTCTGTCTGCCTGACCTTGCACAGGTAGAACACTGCTTGCCTGACCTTACCACAGTTCCACTCATGCATGTCCCACATCCCACCTTGCTGTGGTGCGGCATTGCCCACTAGACCTTGCAGCAGAGTAACAATGCCTACATGCTCCTACAAAAGTGGAAGACCACTTTCTAGACCCTGCACATGGAACCCACCACCTGCCTGTCTTTACAGTGGTACAAAGGTGCTTGCCTGACATTGCAGCACCAGAACAGCATCTATCTGACCTTGCAGTGGGGATAGGCACCACTGATCTGACCTGACAGCAGTATAAGGTAGTCTACCTGACCTTATCATGGGGATGGACCTCCATACCTGACCTCACAGAAGGCTTGACACAACATATCTAACCTTATGGTGAGTCCTATGCAGCCTGGCAGATGCTGCAACTCTGTCAGACCTACATCTGTGTGGGAACTTAACTTTTTGACATAAATAGTCAAACACACCTTGGAAATGCTACATATGAGTTGGAGAGTCCCACATGCATGACTTACTCAGAGGCAGACACTTTCTGGTTGCAAATTGCATAGAACACATTTACATAGTGATAAATAAATGGCACACATCACAAAATGGGTACAAAATATTAAAAATGTGTCCAAAAAACCTGATGCTATAGCAGTGTGAAATGAAAGCATGAAGTGTCCCAAAGGACCCATATATATTTGTTAGCTTTCTAAAACTAAGATTAATTCTTCAAAATATGATGGAAATCATACAGCACTCCTAACTAGCAAAGCACACCACCTCTTTGACCTCAGGTGATCAATGCGCTAACCATGTACACACCTTATTCATCACGACTGCACTTAGGCAAGGGAAGTTTCAGGACAGATGCGCTAATGTTTGGATAGCCCAGTAATCAATTTGCAGAAATGACAAACACTCTGGATAGCACAGTAGCTGTGATGAAAAGCTTGATACGTAATTCACACCTCACAAGCAAAACACTGTCATTGTCATTAGGGCTTTATGATACACCCAGCTGCAGAGGCTGCATGTTATCGCCTGTCTTTCACCCCCGCAGAAAAGACGGACACCGCGGGGAACTGAACCCCGTACCTCTGGTCTCTCACACTTCAAAATAGTCAAACACACCTTGGAAAGTTCACACCTTGGAGTTCACAAGCAGAACAACACATCCAACACTCATTGGCACATCAACGATACCACACATTTGATACTGCACGCACAGCTGGACGCCAATGACGAACATCCAATGTGAACAGCTGCTGCCCTGCGCCAGGAGCATACCTGGGAGCAGCATGCCTGGTAATCCCAGTACCCGTACCTGGTACCCGGTACTCCGTCTCTCACCTGAGCCATGAGGACCTCGCCGAACGGCTCGAAGTACTCGCGCAGCTCCTGCTCGGTGGTCTTCCAGGGCAGGCCGAGCACGATCAGGTCGGAGCACTTCTGCTTGAGCTCCAGCCGCTTGGTCTTGGCCAGCCCCGACTCCAGCAGCTCATCATTCTTGCGCTTGTTTTCTGTCAGTGGCCGCGCGCTGTCAGGGGCGGCTTGACGCGAGCAGGGCACAACAACCGGCATAGGGACAGCCGGTATTGGTGGGCCACAGCTCAGTACCCGGGCCTGGTTACCACCACAGTCACTACTAGAGGCTCAATTCCAGACCAGCTCACAACTTGTGAAAACAATGACTTGCAAGCCGCAACAAGTGTGCATTGCCTGAGGACTGTGTTGTTGACCATGGGTTGAGGACACCACTTGTAGTACTGGCAGGCAAATCATTTTACCCATTCCGGGGGGGGGGGGGAGGGCTATACACAAAAAATGCAAGTTGGTTGCTTCAAAACATTGCAAATAAATGTTACACTACACTGGCATGCATTCACACATCTAATTCGGGCCTGCGCCTGCAATCTTCTGGCACATCTCTGCTGTAAGCTCAGAGGCCATGGACTTATACATCCAGGCACTTCATGTGATGCATCCAAAACATACTTCATTTTTGAATCTGGAGTTTAGTACATAAACATGCAAACAAGGATCTGAACAATGTGGCATGCCAAGTACTAAAACAAAACTATATAGTCAAGCTATGCATGTATATATACAAACCCTCAGTAGTGACCCAGCCACAAACCTGAAAAGTTCATGGGGTTGGGTCACTAATTACTGAACAAGGTGACAATCTCCTTTCACATGCAACCTTACCACAGGCTGTTGGCATCACTTGATGCCTGAAGACACTCACCTTCAGGAGTTTCTGAAAAAAAGACAGGAGCCATGTAAAAAATGGTGTTTTAACACAAACACCTCAACAATTATTCAATTTTGAACTCAGTAGATACTAATCACAGTGTGTGGTGTCACACAGAGTAAATCTTCTTGCCTATTATAGAAACAACTGATGGTCCGAGCACATTCCTCATGACAGCCGCATGGAACTGATTAATCTGGGAAGACTGGTAACACCAAACACCAGCACACACTTTTGCCCCGAATAACGTATGAACAACCTGAATAATCATAATAACATATGAATAACAACTGAATTGTCTATAATACCATAACATTTTTCACCATAAACAGTAAATACTGGGATTTGTTTTTGAATAAGCTTCCTGGCTGCACTGGTTTTACACCTGGCAGCGGTTAAAACATGTCAAAACAATTGTGACATGAGACATGGGGAAAGTGGAACAAATGCATGTGTGATGCTTCAAGTATGTCATGCATTCATTGATTTAGCTAGCTTTGCACCTCTCACAAGATTTATTGCAGTTTTAGCACATGCCAGGTGCCCATACTAATCCACAGACAGGGTGCAAGATTACCTATCAGTCATGACAGGATTTCTTAAATTTTCAAAAGCTGATATATGTTTTGGGGTTGGTGAATATATTTGCATTTTACATTAATCATCTGTCTCATTCACATCTATATAATAATATAGATGAATTGACTCACTGCATCAAGAATGCATTCACATGCTATATGAGTGTGCAACACAATTTTTCAGTTATAATCATGTGAGCTGGAACCTTGTACTCCAACAACAGGTCATGCTAAACTTGACAACACACAGAGATGATACCACATCACATTTAAAACATAACTTATCCATGGCTACACAGAAGCCAGTTAAGCTAAAACTGAAAATTTTTGGCAGCAAGTCTTTTAGCTAACTGGTGGTGTGATCAACAGTAAACACAACATATAGCTTACAGTTCCTACATTTGAATACAAAAAGAGAAAGGTGAAGTGGGTAATGTTTTAACCTTCATGTTTTTTCTTAACTTGCATGCATTATTGAAAATGCTCTACACCTGTTGATTACTCAGAACCAAATTATTTATCTTGAGATTATAAGGGTGTTTGAACCAAATACTTTGCTAAATTTTTTCCTATATTTCTCCTTTCGGTAGTAACTTATTTGTTCATTAAAACCAGATCAATTGCTGCCTTTGCCTATCTCAATTATATCTTATTTGGTGTAAAGTAATAACGCACTTAAAATAGCATCAAGCTGCCATAACTGGTTAATTTGACAAGCATACCATCACAATGTTACTGACTAGGGCCAAGAGAGCACAACCCAGTTTATGCTGGACATAACAAACTGGCATCACAGCAACAGTATCACCACATGTATGTGTTGAATCCTAGTAGTAATCCTGCTAATCCTAGCAAAGTTCAGAAGATGGTCAGCACTAATATTAGCACACTAGGCCAACATCTCACAAAGTTACAATGTTGCAAAGGTATCTTAAGGTAAAAGCCTCAAACAGATGCCATTGAAAAATCATGTGATAATTCAGCACATGCCAGCTTGAACTGAGTTAAGTGCACAATGGAGCAAAGTTCTATGCACTAATGTTGCATAGGTGTCCAGCACAATTAATTTTTGTAGACTGGAAAAATGACAAAACCTTTAAGGCACCATGCTCATGAGATGATTGAAATATGCTTTCCACTTGATAGCCCGCAACACATAGATAATTCCTGCTACGCCTTCAGCCAACACCACCAATGAGAGCAGTAACTACACAATTGGTGTTTGCTATTAAATAAACCCACACTTGCTTATCAATTCCAATGGCACCTCACTCAGTGCATCAAATTCATAACATAATTTTACACTGAACTGCAGAACTGAGTTTGGTAAGGAAACAAGCATCACTTTCTGTCATACTGACATATCTACTTCTCTGTGGGCGATTCACTAGGCAGTCAACAAAAGCAGATGTTCTCTAGTAATGCAGTCTTTTTTTAAGACCCCTTCAGCGATTCTAACACAGGAAAGCAGGAACATTCAATGTTACCGGAAAATGATAAGTCACCTTCTGGACCGGGGTTGCGCTGGTAACACATGTGTAATACGTACCTTTGGGAAATACACACAGGTATACCACACTGCCCCATCCACCATCCGGAGGTTGAAATTTTCCATCTACCAGCCGCACACCACGCAAACTTCTTGACTCTGTGCGATATTTCAGACCACAGGCACCCGGGAACTGCGCCGACAGTGTCGTCAGCAGGAGTCCCATATCTTCCTCACACGGTATCTCCATAGGCTCTTCATTTTCCTCCTCAGCTACTTGAATGTAGCAACTCATCCTGACGAAGAAATGAAGAAAAACAAACAAATTCCACTCAAACACACATTCACGCAGCGTCCCTCCCCTACGCCATCCACCCGGAAGTGTCAAAAACTGGCTCGCGTCAGGCGAGATGGCAATATTCCGTGTTTCTTGAGCGCATGCGCTCAGCTAGCGGTTTGCTCTCTAATGCGCTCAGGTAGCGAATAGATGGCACCACAAGAGGAGCTTAAACGCTACATTCCCATTTCCCACGGTTACGGAGTTTATAAGGATTCTATGCAAGCAATTTACTGAAAAATGGGCTACATAAGTGAATTTCAAGTATTATGAGGTTTCTGACTCAGGTAGTTCGAGGAAAGAGGGAGTAGATCTCAAAACTTACTTACCGTAAAGTAATGACGTCACTTGAAGTTCTACGTAGTAGTCATTGGTCAATGTGGTCAATTACTGTTGCATCAGAGACGCACTCAGAGCGTAACGTGCTGTACCACGCCCAAGAGAGTAGGAGTTGCCGGACCCAGGAATAACTCAGGACGACTTGGGGCAGGTATATCACCGCACAGAGTCGGTTGAGGCCGAAGCAGGGAACGACGTAACATGCCACAAACCCGACTCCCACCGCATGACTGGCTGGAGATCTCGTGGTGGTCGAGGGATCCAGATACCACCCCTTGGACCAAGCGACTCTAAGGGGGAATCAAAAGTGAGGGCTCTTTGGTTGGGGCACCGCGAATAAAAATGGCCACACTAAGTGAGAAGTGCCAAGGGTATTTTTTCGTCATTTTCCAAAAGACATTTCGAAGGCACTTCTGGGCTTACAGGGGCCTGAGTCTCTCGACTCTTGCCGCCATTCAACTTTCAGGGTCGTATCAAGGCGTCCCGCCCGCAGAGCAGGGCACTCTTATGTCATCCAGAGCGACTCTTGCGCCAGATACCAGGGAAGATGAAAGCCTCGATAGCGTTCAGAGACCATCAGCACCGAATATTCCGCTGTGAGCCTGAGCCCTGGGAGTCCACTTCCCAACCAGGGACAAGGTCAGGCCCGCTATTGTCACTAAGGGCCTGTTGCATTGGTGGGGGCCCAAGGGAGCCTCGGTGTCGGCCAGGAGCTCACAGCGCCCGCCAGGATATTTAACGTCGGCGGGGGGCCCCGAGTCGGTCAGGGGCGCATTTACTGAACAGAAACAAGACGGGACACTTATGTCAGAGAGCCTCTTAGGCTGATCGGGGCTCTGATAATGAAATGAGATCAGATCGATGAGATTAATGGAAGGGTCAAAAATGAGAGGACGGAACGGTTTTTGTGTCCGTCAGCGGCTCGCGTGCCGAACGGGGAGAGCCTCCGCCCCGTTTCACCCAGGAACCTTAGTTGACCTGAAGCCCCTGCACCAAATTACTAGACTCCTTATGCCGACAAGGAGTCCCTTGGCGTCAGCGACGGCCCCCTGCGTCGATCCGGGGCCAACTGCCCTGGTCAGAACGCCCTGCATGGGGAAGTATACAGATGTACGCTGTATCCCCTGAGGACATCCGGATCGACCAGGAACCCCCGATCCTGTGTCGCCAGAAGGACAGCGAGTGTCCGTTGCAGAGGCAGACTGTCCGAGGCAGGAGTCCCGCGTTGGGACGGAAGAACCCTTCAACAACTGACCGGGAAAAGGTAATGTGCACCCGTAGCGTTCTACCCACGCGGACCCTCGCCTGAGAATAACATGGGGGTTCTTAAGTGTCCAAATAAGCTGGATCGGAACGGGTTAAACAATTTGTAGTGACATGACCAGCACATGCCTGCATGAGGGCGCTATCCTTTGAGAGCACCACTTAGTGAAAAGAAACAAAGCAGATAAAATGGTCTTAAGCTCGAGAGCTCAAGAGCTCGAGAGATTATCTTTAGGAGCGAAACTACTGACGCTCGGCACTGAAGCCTCCATCGAACCGAGCGGCGCTGGCTGTCCCAGCAACACCAGGTGGCGGGCTCGAGAGCGAACGTACATCAAGAAAATGCTCTCAAGAGCCTTTCAAAATCAATTCGAACGGCTCAACAGATAGACATAGCATATACAGTTTCAATGTGCCATTTTGAGATTGATCGGTTCAACTGAGTGAGCAGATCAGATTGATTGCAGATGATCAGATTAATTACAGATTAATTACATGAAAGATAAGGTGACCAGAACCGATCTGCAATTAAAAATTGAACACATTATCACTGATCGGGTCTTAAACAAATCACAAAGCTGGCGCTCTGACCAAGTGAACTATCGGAGGGACGAGCTAAAGGATGTTTTAGGACGGGGTGGTAAAGTGTAGTTCGACTATTTATTGGTAACTTGGTTGTACCACAAAAAGAGATACTAGAGGATGAAATCAACGCGCTTGGTGCGGTGTGCTAGAGAGTGACAGGAATATTGGGGTTGTCACCGTCGTCTTTGGGGCTTTAAGGCGCACTCAGCTGCTGAGGTTATATGGCGCCGCCTGCCTCTTACCCTGGCAGGAAGGGCGGGCACCGCATGGATTCGGGTGTGGTATTGATCGATTTTTGCGAACATATCTGACCGAGAGCACAGTTCCCAAAAGCCAAGTACTCTCCATATAACTAACAGTTTGTTGATAGCGTCGCTTATCTACTAACGCGTGTTACACTGAAGCCCGTTTATTTTCAAGATAAGAACTCCCAACTCAAAACGTCGACTCACCAATAATTCATGGCCTTCCTTGCTAATACCAACTCCCAACACGTGCCAAAGCGTTGGTCTGGCCATTCGTTAATACGGCCACTCCGGTTGACCGCCCGGTCGCCCGCCTGCACCTACTCAGCTACGCCGGCTGCCGGCGCGACGACAGCTGGCACGGCAGCCAGACCACCGGAGCTTCCGCAAAGTGGAGTCGGCGCCCGTCAGCCGGCGCTAGCAGTACACCGCGTCCGCTGGACTACTTTAGACGATTATGCATCGGAGCACTGGCCGCCTTCTGCACAGCAGCATCCTAGCTAAGTTGCGTTGTGTGGTGCAAGATCGAATACTAAAGTCCGTGAGAAAAACGGTGCCTGAAACCGGACGAAGTACATAGCTTTAACAACGACCGATAACAACGATAGGAAGAGACACTGCGGGCAAACCTAGACGTTTGCATGGAACGAAAACACAGGATTCATACACTGCCAATATTCAATACTTATCTAGCCCGCGCAGATCAAGCAGCTATCGCTGCATGACAGACGCGCCGCTCTCGCGACGTCCGACCGTCCTAGTAGTGGGCGTATCTCCGGCCGACCTGGTAGCCGCCAGCGTCATGGCAGGCGGCGAGCTGGCTGCCAACGATCCACCAGCCACCAGCTCCGCAGGCGTAGACACGCCGGAGGGAGAGCCACCCGCCAGCACAGCAGCAGCCGGCGCCGCGCCAGCAGCCACCATCCCCGCAGACTTAGACACGCCGGACGAAGAGCCACCCGCCAGCACAGCAGTAGCTGGCGCCGCGCCAACAGCTACCAGCTCTGCAGGCGTAGACGCGCCGGACGGAGAGCCATCCGCCAGCACAGCAGCAGCCGGCGCCGCGCCAGCAGCCGTCAGCTCCGCAGGCGTAGACACGCCGGACGGAGAGCCATCCGCCAGCACAGCAGCAGCCGGCGCCGCGCCAGCAGCCGTCAGCTCCGCAGGCGCAGACACGCCGGACGGAGAGCCAGCCGCCAGCACAGCAGCAGCCGGCGCCGCGCCAGCAGCCGCCACATCAACACACGCCGGCCCGGGTGACGAGGCTCGAGACCGCAACGTAGGTTTCAAGCTCCGGGCCACCGGGCGCCCCGCCCTGCGCGGCTAGCCGGCGCAGCAGCGGAGGGTCGCTGGGCGCCAGGGCTTCCGGCGCCCGACCCCGATGGTCCTGGGCGCGCCTCTGCAGCGTGGGCACGTCTGGCTGCAGACGGCACCTGAGGCGTCCCACGCGTGATGCTGGTCAGCTGCTTTGCGGAGTAGATCCTGACGGGTGAGGAATATGAAAATCTGAACACGGGGATGCCGCTTTTTGTGAACGTTGTCAAAATTTTCTGGTCCCGCCTGAGCTGGAGAAATTCTTTGTAGATGGCCTAGTTGTTTTTTTTGTATTAGATTCATTTAGGCACACCCTTTTCCTGATATCCATTTCTCTTTTCAGTTTTGTTCGCTCTTCGAAAAGTTCGTTGCGTAATTTCCTGTTCTTGAAGGCGCGCATCACAATATTATTTCTCAGCAAGCGGTGCATGACGGAAAAATCGTCTCTCCTGATGGTCGTGACCGCGAAACATTCACGTAGCACTGAAATGGTCATGCCCTTAGCATCTCCCCCCGGCGCTGCTTACCGAAACATTCACTTGCCATGATTACGTTTGCAGAACGACTGTGACGTTCAAACTCTTCAAAATGATTAACGTACGCATCAAGCAGTTTTTTGCATTCGTTCAGGCCTTTTTCTAATCTTTCGATACGCCGATCTCGTTCAAAGACTGCACTTTCCAGTTTCCAAATTTAGTCTCGTATGGCGACAGCTTTGTCACAATTTTACCCCAAGGGTTGACACAGCGTTACTGATGAATAAATGTATACTTGCGTCTAAGTCTTCCAAAATGTCCCATGTCTTTCCACTAACATATGGCTGTTGCGGCGATGTTGTTCGTTTTCTTTTGGTCCTGGGCACTGATCAATCGAATCAATAATGTTATCAATTTGCCGACGGAGCGCTGCCTTTTGTGCTCCATGGCGGATGACGGATGTGCAGGCCCTTCTACATCGCTGAGTGCAGACTCCGAGGCCGACATTCTCGTGGATCCCCGTCCGTTGTCACAACAATCTCACATAACACGTCACGAGCCGCGCACCACGAACTCGAGTTAGCCGACACTTGCATAGCCCACACCAAGACTATGATCTGCTTAGCTCTGCATGCCATGGAAACAAATGCTTTCTGACGGTCATCCTATGGGCCCAAATCAAGCAATGTACCAACCGTAGCTGAACGATTACAAGACACGGCAAGGGGAAGCGGTAGGTCAAAATACCAACGCAAATAGCTGCATTCCCGACCAGCATCTGGGTATGAACATCTGCGTGCCTATAAATGCATCATGCGATATCATGAGTAACATTTGTACGACTTACCTACTTGGAAGTTATCGCCATGATAGGC